TGGTGAATATCCTAACCATCAAAATGTAAGTTTTGCACAGTATTATATTATGAAGTGGTACAACCAATGTCATTTTTATTGTTACTTTGTGCAAAGGATTATACTTCAGGGAACAATAAAAACCTAAGGAAAGTGACTACTAACAACCTGTCTGTAAATACAGAGTTATTTAACACGGTGTTTAGCAAAAGTAACAGCTTTTAATGACAGTGTACACCAAAATGAGCCTTAACATATTGATATCATATGTCCAAAGACTGTAATAAACTATAAATGGCCAGAAAGGCCATGGTTATGCATCCACAGATACATTGAAAATCCCCGTGAAAACAACATCCTACCAACAGCTCTCAAGAGCATTTTGTCTGCCTTTGCTCTTTCTCAGAGCAACAAGAAACAGGAGTATTACTGATGCTCTTTCTGGTGATAGTTTATATAAATAATCTTAATTTCCTTCACTCATTGTTTTATTCACAGTAAGTGGGAACCACAATGGATAAAATGGTTACTGAACCTGGAAAAAATATGCAATAATCTAGTCAGATGAAATTCAACTTACTTGCAGACTGAAAAGAGTTACCATACAAATTCAAAGTCTCACTTTTTGCCTTTGAAAATGCATCCCTAATATCATAAAGAATGTAAGCAAAGAGAAACAAAATAACCAACTCAATCCCTGTGATTTAAGAGAACAGGTGGAACCAAACTTCAAGGTCCATTTGACATATTTATTTTTTTTCCCCAACATATACATGCATATGCATATTTAGGCATAAAGACAGTTCATTCAAGCACAGCTATCCTATTTGGAAAGAGACTTGTGAAATCAGTATAAAAACATCCACACAGCTTTCACCAGTATAATTTCTGCAGCTCAATAAATCACTGAAGTGCATATATTTAAGGCAGGAATTTAATCAAACCCAGGATTAGTAGGACAAATGGAGTTACTTAACATCACCAATGGGCAGAAAATGCCTGGCTAACCATTGCCCTTTTAGAAATGATACTCATAGTTTATACATGCATCAATACCCATGCATGTTAAAAGCAGTAAAATTCTAACATTTTGAGACAATCTGTTGAAAGACAGGTTGGAAGTCTTCAGCAACCCATCTGCTCTAGCAACCACTTACACACCACTGCAATCCTAGCACCTCTCTTCAGACATTCGCAACTCCAAGTCTCCAATCCCAAGGAAGAGTTACAGTATAACACACACACACTTTGCAGAGCATAGTTCCTGCTGTTCCTCTCTCTTGTAGATCACTTATGTTTGCAGGAAAATCATGCAATTCCTGGACATCAGGTGGATGGAAATACTATCTCAATCTCTGCCACCATGGGAGCTCTACATGCATTCTCTGTGACAGTAAAACTTGCTGGAGAGATTCCTGCCTCCTAATCACTCTCCACACACACTCCCAACTCTTGATTATGCCAGCACAACTGCCTCTGGTTAATGCTGTGAAAAGCTCTAAAATGTCTGGATTAAAAAAAAAAAAAAAAGGGAATGAAGTTTTCTTTTAGCCCAGGACATTTCACAAGTAAACCAAAAATCAAAGGCGTCACCAGAAGCTTTAGTTACCAAAGCAAGCTCCAGCTGGAGGATCAGTCTTCACTTGGGTTTTGTTTGAAAAAGTTGATTTTGAGAAGTTAAACAGAGGACCCAACATGTTTCCTTCCTGCATCACACACTCAATCTCACATGCAATGCTGCATTTTCCAAACTGCTTTTCCCTAAGCAAACTAGTATTTTTAGCTCTTAAAAGTGTCTCCTTTCAGATAGCATTTGCTGACAGACTGCTTTGATCTTAATGCATATCAAAGGAGCCTAAATTACAAATTCCTAAATAAACTGCTTACATTTGACTATGCTCTCTCTTTAAATTTTAATCAGGGTAGAACACAAAAGGAACAATGTTTCAGCCCCTAGCATCTCAGTTGGTTAGGGTATTCCACATACAGCTCATGTCTCCTTTATCAGTCTATTGCCAGCTGCTGAACTCTAATATACTATTCGATTCTTGATGGTACTTATTTCCATATCTTTTGCTGTATTTTTGATTAACAGTCTACAGTGACTCCAACAAATAAAGAATATAAAATGCATTAAAACACACTTTCAACCATGTGTAACAGTGTAAAAACCCAAAGTGAGTTTCAAGATATTCAATATACAATAGGAAGCACTTTTCAGTTCAAGCCCTGTATCCTATAAATCAAAAATCTTCAGTACAGATGCTATTTAAAAAGTCAAGTAAGGCAGAAAGAAAATGTCAGGATTCTGATATTTGACATCATTAAACCCAATGTACTTTAAGCTTTAAAGTATGCATGGACATAGTGAATGTTTTAGGATGTTTCTGTAACTTCTGAATATATTTTCAACAACCTATTTACTCAAGAAGTTACAGTGTTTTTTGTAGTTATTGCAATAACAACACACACATGGAAGACACAGAGAGGTGGCTTATGTAAGATTATTGATTGAAAAGAATGTCACTAATGTATTCTCCTGGGCAATAAAAGTTTACAGATAAATCCTACAAACTTTGGGAATACATAAAGAAACAATATAATTGGTTTAGAGGAATAAGACTTTCTTTCATACAAACTACAGCTGTTATTTCCCATAGCTGAAAACCAGAAACACTTCAATACTCCTCTACAAACAGGCCATTTAGGGACAGGCATATAAAACTCATTTCAGGTTAAAACTTGCACTTTAGATAGACAGCTCTTCCAAGCTGTAATAGGGCATCCCTAAAGCCCAGTTCAGAAATGTTTCAGAACTGTGACCTCACTATTGTCTTGACATGCAGGACAGCAGGAGGCAGCAATGACAACAGAAGATCCAAATCTCAGTGTGGTGTTCAACAGAGAAATAGTCCTGAAAGATACAGTTGCCATAACAATGCAAATTCTGGTCCAGGCAAAACTTGTTTAAGAATCCAGAGGTCCTATAGTGACTTCAACTCTTGTTTAGGGATTTAGAAAACAATATAGACCATAGAGGGACTTTATTAAACAAAACAGATTTAGGTTCCTCCAGCTACAAGACTGAACTTGGTAATGTCAATGGGCATCACTATGAACAGGAATATTGAGCTTTTCACTCTTCTCCATTTTCTCCCTAACACCATAAGAACAAATGCTCTTCAAATGTGAACACTGTTTACAGCAATTACTTAAATTCTACCAGAGCATTAGCATTTTAAAAAGCATCTGTGTGATGTAGTGACTGATAAAGCATTTTAGAAAAATGTTTTAAAGTGTTCTCCTTTGCTTTATCTGTAACAGACTACAATTAATGCAACAGAAAATTACTTAAAAAGTAACTATCAATTGAGATTAAATGTAGATCAGAGGGCAGCATGAAAGACTGGAATAAATGACAGACAGGAGAGAAGACATAGTAGTTTCTCACTATTTTTGACTTAACCAAATCGCAAGAAAGCCAAAGTATTTGTTAGCACCACTGAAAATCCACGCAACGAAAAGGCATACCAGCCCACAGTTTTCCAGAGAAAACTGCAAGAAATGAGAAGATTAATGATCCAGAACCAAGGTAAAAGCAGAAGTGCTTGAGGGATAGGAAGGAAACTCCTCAAAATGCAACTAGGCCTTCACCCCCTAAAGAAAAGGGTTTGCACAAGTATTATTTTACAGAATTTTCTACTTTATCAATGTACATGGAACTAATTTTGGTTTCTTTTCCCATAGTTTTCAACACATTGAACTCTCTGCCTATCAAAATTTGGTGGTCAGCCGTCCACAGAAGCAAAGTGACTTTTGCATCAAACTAGCTACTTCATTTTAAGGCTATAAATCGGTTATACCATGCAACAGAGAAAAATATAAAGAAACAAAAAACGTCCCCAAGCACATAGTTTTACAGAAAATAAAACTGCAGTCAGATTCCATGCAGTTATTGAACAAAATTACACACAGTTACTATTCTAGCCTTACAGTCTTAAAATGGTAGGAAGCACTTACATTCAGTAATTGGTTTACATTGCTAACCTACAGAAGAGGTGATATCATAGCTGTAGTGCAGGTACTAACTGATCTCAGCACACAGATAACTTTTTAGTCACCTACTACAGTGTCCCTGAATCTCTTCAGCAAGATGCATTTGAGTCTGCACAGATAGCTGTAGGGAGAAATGCTTCATTTCCCCCATGTGCTATAGGACCTCCCCACAAAACTCAACAATAACTCGAGACCATTACAGAGAACAGTCCAGTCACAGAAGCGACATTTACCAGACTGCTCAGGCATTCAATTTTCTCAGCTTTTTTGGCACCTTGAAAATTAATGTACACTGAAAGATGTGACAGCCTACAAGAAATTTAGGAGGCTGTACAATGCTGTCCTGAAACTGTGCTGTTAAACTGTCATAATCTGTATTGGCTGTAAGCCTATCTGTACTGCTATACAGCCCAAGGTGAGAAAAATAAGAAATTGTTATATTCTTTTTCTTTAGCTGTCTACCAAGTTTCATTTGAAAAAAATACCTAACAGTGCTTCTCTATTTAAGTTTGACTTGTATTACTGATATTTCATGTGCAGGCATAAAGTTGCTGAACCGCTTAAAGGAAAAAAATAATCTTGTTTTGCCAACTGTGCAATTGGTGGTCAACTGTGCACTTGCAGCCCAGAAATCCAACCATGTCCTGGGCTACATCAAGAGAAGTGTGGCCAGCAGGTTGAGGGAGGTGATTCTGCCCCTCTACTCTGCTCTCATGAGACCCCACCTGGAGTGTGGGTGAGAACAAGGTCCAGCACAGTACCTCTCCTTGTTGGTTCCCCTATCACATCCAAAGCTGCATGAATGGTATGCATGAATTCACATAGTTACCAAGACTATTCAGTGCAACATGCATGGAGAGAGAACTACCAATCAAACCCAAATAATTTCTTATTCATTTAAACTGTATAGCTATAAACACAGCTTTGAACTTAGTGTTTATCATTTGGAACCTACCAATACTCACCCTGCTGCAACTGCAGGAGGGATGACCAGTATGAGTTTAAGTTGTGCTTCATGCAGAGCTTCAGAAAGGTGAATGAGCAAGTGAATCAACTCCCTGAAATACAAATACATTGTTAGACTGAAAGGTAGGAAAACTGGTGCTATATATTGCCAAGAGCAAGTAACAGTAGAAATAATTGAAAAGATTCACTGGCAAGAGAGCCAAACACAATTTGTTGCAAATGACTATAGCAGAAAAAACAACAATTAGGAAGACTAATCAGAGGTCTACTGCCTTCAAGGACTAAGAACATCAAACTGCTTGAGACAGTCTTAGTTTTCTTGGAACTGGTGATCACCTTGGGGCTAAATTTTTTCCTAGTTTTACTTTAATCTAACTATGCATTGTTAGCATGTAAAACAAACCAGCACACCTTATCAGAGCATGTAATCTCTTAAGGTAATATTCAGTAAAAGAATTAGATCAATACAAGAACCAAACACTGCTCTGAAGAAACAGCTGTTGAATAAATTCAAGTTGTTACTACACATGAGGCCTGAGAATTTTCAAAGATGCTTTCACAGCAAAACATGCAATCTTCAGGGGATATTTCTGAGGTCTGCGTTTAGAAACATTTTTTTACTGTATAAATTTTCTTTCTGTTTTTCAATACATTACTGTATATCTACAAAATGCATGTCTGACCATGTTGTATCTGGAAGTATCACCTTTCATATGCATCAGTTAAATAAAGATTTCCACAAAAGTTGATTTTCATATCCATATTCTAGACATTTCAATAGGAAAATAAACCTAAAAATTCTTATGCAAACTGTTTTTAGCACTCCTTATTTGAAGGGTGATGTTAATAGAAAACCCTTCAGAGACAGACTGCAGAAATAAAAAAAAGGTTTATTGTTATCTTAAGAAAAATCCAGTATTACCTTAAATTTGCACTACAAATATGGCCCTTTTGAGTGTCTTTCTTAAGTAATTTGATTTTTCAGAACAAAGTAAACTTTCGTATTTACTCACTGGCTGGAGGGATTCACAAACAGTCAGACAGATGATATCAGTACAGAACTCTAGATCTGTTTAGAACTATGCTTAAACCTGAACAGAATAGAGAACAACTTCATGAGCCATTTCAGGAGACTAAAAGAGCTTAAGCAGGAAAGGCAGAATACACAAAAGTAATTCAACCAAGCTTTTTGCTCCACTTAAACTGAATAAGATCTGAACTTTCATGAAAAACATCTTGGTATTGTCGTGCCTTTCAAGGTAGTATCACCCTAGAGATATTCTTCTGAAATCATTGCTCTTCCAGTATAATCATCTGTCACAGTAATTATGCTTAACTTGCACAATTGTAGACACTATCCAAAGGTAACTCAGTATTTTAATTTTCCCTGAAATGGTTTGATGCCTGATGAAAACTTCTTAAGGCCTATAAAAGCCATTACTCTCAAAATGCTGGTGAACAAACAAAGCAAGTTTTATCCCTTTCCCAATACCAGCAGTATTTTGTGTTTACAATTTGAGAGCTGCCTGTGCTGAACAGCCCTTAACAATAAACTGTCACACTGCTACCTATATTTCTCTTCTAGGGGAAGACATGAGATTACAGGAATCAGCTTTTGGTCTGTCTGCAAAATGCACTTCTACCATTCTTTCTCTGGGAAAGTAACAGCTTTCCCTCCTGTTACTTTATCACATGCATTCCACATTAAGAGTGTCACTATTCAGACAAAACAATTACAGCATACAAGAATCCTTTTCCACAGGAACACATTAAAAAATTACAACACTAAACTAAACAGACGTTTATGGACACCAACACATGCATCACAATTCCCACATGACACAATGTTATCAAAAACTATAATCAGTAGTAAAACTAGCCAAGCAAGCTTTCCCGCTGATTTGAGTCTCATGGCTTAGTGACCTTTTTAACTAATTATGCCCAATCTACAGTAGGAGTGCAACCTTTATTAGATGTCAGAGGTGTTAAATATAAGATAAATTTGACCAAAGAATCAGTTCCTCTGGCACTGAGATTATTCTACAGTGTTCATCAGCAGGGATCTCTCTTCTCTGCCTGGCTGCCTTTGTTAGCTGTAGGAACTTAGAGAACTCTACACCATGCAAAACATTTGCTGACCTTAATTATTTAGAAGATGAGAGGATAAGAGGAAGGGCAGAATAGGACAAAAGAACCTAGCATAGGTAGAGAACAAGATAATGTATTTTTCTTTTCCATTCAGAAACAAGGCTAATACCCTCACTCCCATTCTGCATCTTCACATATCTGCCTCAGCTCCTAAAATTTTGCATTCCAGATAGCAATGCTTTGAAGCATAAGAAGAAAAGCAGTTGGGATTATTTTGAACCAAATGCAAAGAAAAACAGAAATTCAAAGGAATATTAATTTCAAGGTTTCAGCCTTCCTCAGCAATGTCAGACACTGGTGGTTGACCAGCAGAGGAAAAACTGATCCACAAAGGCTGTGACATACCCACGAGAACAGTTACTACACAAAAGCAGTCATATTTCGAAAGTGGAAAAACATACAGTGTAGAACCATAACCTGTAACTGTAAACACAGGACAGAGATTTGTGGCCTGATAAAAAGGCAGGAGTGTAGTTTGGATTGTTGGTGCACTCGGGACTCTAAGACAGACTACACTGAAACAGCCACTTCCTCTCCTCCCACCACTAAGTTCAAGCAGTATCGATCTGGCTAAAAAATAATTACCTTGAACTTGTGGAGAGCAAGAAGAAAAGGGGTAGCTGGACAACTTTAGATTTTTGCTCAAGAAACCCAGATTAATATCCACTCACTACCCTGTCAAGCCATGTCTCTGGGCCCTGAAACCTTTTTAGCAAATCAGGTAGGATTAATAGTTAAAGACTTAATTTAGGCTCACTTCCACGTGTCGGCCAAGACAAGTTACGTAAATAAAATGTACAGGCTTCCCTTCTCCCCCAAAGAGCAATAGAAGAATGTTCATTTACTGTGCTATAAATTAAAACTTTACTGTGTCCCAACAGTGCTTTCCAGTGACTTAAACATAGTGTTCTCCAATGTTACCATTGGTAACTTTGAAAGAAAAGCTACTGACATTTTAAACATTCTAATGAGGTACAGGAAAGTAGGAATAGAATCAATCTTCCTAAAAAAGCTTCATTAAATATTTACTGGAGACTTCACCATAGCCAAGTTTAACTTCAAAGCAGGTACTAAAATATTGGCAGCTTTAAGTTTCTATCTTGAGCTAATTAAGGTCTACTTCATTCCTACTATTTCAGGCCTTCTCTTATCACTACCATTTGGTAGGTCAATTTTCCAAGTGTTCATGATTTCAAAGTACCTTGTCCCTTATAGAGTATGCAGATCTCTGAATTTTCATCACCCAAAGCTCATGGGAAGCTTATTTTTACAGAAATCACTTTTTTGAGAATTGCTGGTCTATCGTGTTTTGGACATCTTGTAGTACAGTTTGCTTCAGTGCACAAGAATGGGCTGTAGATGCATTTGAAAAGCTTTGCAGAAGACATGTAAGGCTGTTATATCCTTCCCTTCAGTTACATGGTCCTTCAGAACTCTGCAACTTTCCAATTTCAGTCAACTTTTTGCACAAGCTGGTAGTCAGTACTCCCTAAAATTTATGCCTTGTCAAGAAAATTGGACAAAATAAAACTGTCTAGTCGAAGAAGAAAATGCCCTTTCCTGCCATTTCATTGCCTAGTTAATACCAAGAAACTGGAGTGAATTATGGTAAATCTTTGATTAATAGATTAACTTTTCAGGGACTAACATGAAGGATACAATTGCCAGAAGAGCTTTTTCCCCTTATATTCCTACCAACGTTAATAAGATGTCTGAAGGTCATCTTCTGCATGATACCAAGTGCCTGCAGCATGTGGTGACAAAAAATCACGTTTTTCAGATTGATTCCGTGTGATGGCAGTGCCATCTGTCAACTAAAGCTGGACTGATCAGAATATTGTGTGCATTTTTATGTAGGCTGTGAGATTCTGATGAGTACATTCATGCCTTTTTCACAACCTGGGTCTGGAGAAAAAAAAACCACCCATCAAACCCACAATTAGATTAGCAAGTTAGGCATGGTCCTGGTCCAGTTATTAACTAAATAAGCAGGAGAGCCTTTGCTTACACAGGCCTCTCAATATTTCTGCCATGTACATTTCTAAACTTAAATGCCACAGGATGAATAACTTGGAATATTTTATTGGAAAATCAGGCAAGAAAGTTTTAGAAAACAAGACAGTTATTTAACTAAAAAGCAGGTTTAAACTATAAGAAGCAGCAAAACACATTGGAATTGAGGTATCTGCATAGGATATCTTGGTTCATTTAGATTTTTATTAGGAAACCAATCTCCTATATGTTAGAGTAAGAGGCAGGTAGCTGAATACTTTTTCACTGTGCAACGACTGTTGGCATGACAGGAAGCAGCATCAGTTAGATGCAATCCTTCATCTCACATTAAACTTGATGTGAGATGATTTGTATATTAATAGTTCTAGACCCAGAAATCACAGAGAAGAAGTAGGCACCAGTGCTATAGAGGGTACTTCAAAGTATCTGTATTAGATGCCTACAGGAACCCAAACCGGTCAGTATAAAGACCCCAAAACAGGTTCACACACATATATCAAGACAATTTAGGTTCTTCAGATAGACAGTGGGTATTTCTAAATCTAAGAACCTAAATAGAAGAATCCAATGCCATTTTATACATCTGAAAGTATAAAAAGCATGCATACAGGGTTGTTGTGTAAGACTCCAGGCATCGAGGACCCTGCATGAACAGCCAGAGAGCAGGCTGATTAGGGTATCTCACATGAAACCAGGCAGCTATATTTAGGCATATAATTCTCTTATAAAAATTGATACTGTTGGTAAAATCAACATTTAAATGAATACGTAAAAGAAAGCAGCACAAAAGATTGATATAATTTAAGACATTAGTCTGTCGCGCACTACAGAACAATTCCTAAGACCAAATCAGAATAATTGGAAAATTTTTTGTTCTTGAAAAAAACCCAAACCAAATTAAGTTAGTTCTGATTAAGAAGACATAAAACAGAAGATTCATAGTGAGACTGAAACCACAGAATTTCATGTCTTAGTGGATGCTAGCAACATAACTTCTTAGCAACATTTCACCTTACCTCTAATGCCAGCTAGAATAAATAGGAAACTGAAGGCCCTTTTTAGATAATTCCTCAGGCCTTGAAGGAATAATTTTCACTCATTTATAAAGCTGAAGTGAGTATCCAAAAAAATAAAGGTTTTCTAGAAACATGCAAAGGGCTGACAGAGGAGTGTCTAAACTTACCTCATTTTAAAAATTCTCAGTGATCACAGGTTCTTAAGGAGACTGGTCATAGGATTTATGTGTTACAGAAGAGCTAACACTGTTACCTTGTTACATGAAGATACTGACAGAATTTAATTGTCAAAAAGTCTTTAGGGAATTCAGTGTTTCAAGCCCCAACATCAAGACAACAGGGAGAGCATGTGTTATGAAGATGTCCATCCAATATTCAGGTTCAGCTACTGAAAAAGGTATCTCATGGAGACACTTGCTCAGCCTGAGGTCTATTGAGCAGAGAGCTTCAGCTTCAATTAATCCACCTTTCTGATACATGAAGTAGGATTTAAATCATAACCCAATTTATTAGTGAGTTAGAACACTAATTTTCAGACTCACCTGCTTTGAGATGCATTGTGCTAAAAAGTCTCACTGCACATTGTCACATGAGTGGATACTCATTCAGTAGCTGAAACACCTTATCAGGCACAAAAGTTCCATGAGCAAATCCACCTCTCTAGTAATTTTAAAGATACAGACAGGGATAAAGAAACTTGTACTATATTAAATGTTCCTGCACCACTAAGGCAGTGCATTGGACAGGATCACAGACTTTCTCCATAACACTGTTAAAAACATGACAGGAATAATTTCCATAGCTTTCCCTTCAAAAAGATATATGAAATATATTGAGTGCCATTTTATTAATTTTATAGCTAGATATCCACTTACTTTAGGTTTTGAAAAATGAACACCATAATGATTCCCTGTGAAATATTTTCCCTTAGATCCACACTATGGCTCTAACATTTTGTAAGGCAAGTTGGAAGCTGCAGCATATCCCCATCTATTTTATGCACCTATGTTGAGTTTCAATAACCTGTTGCTAATTGCTTATGTGAGACTATTCCTTGTATTTCAGGGAAAAAAATAATCTGATTTTTTCTTTTATTTTTAAGCTAAAACATGTTCACTTTAAATAATATGAATAAACTATATTAGCCAGGAAGATCTTCTTATATTGTCAGACTACTCTGAAAGTAATTTGAAGGCAAACTATCTGTTTGCCTTTACCCAGAAGTAGGTTAAGCTACTTTCAGGTGTTTGACCTTGAAGGATCTGAATCACGAAAGCCTACACTGTACCTAACAGTTAAGACAGATGCTTTATTTGGAGCATACACAAATACTTTTCTATGAACACTTCACATTTCCAAAGGATTAGGCTTTATCTCTGTGCTGACACCTACCTGTCAACTAACTCCCAGCCTTCCAAGCTTAAGAACGTGCTTTACTGTTGATGTTTGTCACTTTCCAGACACAACCAGAAGGAAGATCAGGCATGACTCACGTTACAATACTGCCACTCTGTGGATAAAGGGGGCATTGGGCTGCTGCAACTCTTTCGACAGCAACAATGGAAGCAAAAGACCATCCATGCTTACCCGTTTATCAGAAATAACTCTGCTCTGCTACTCAAAAGAAAATTAACAGATCACAAAGTAACAGCACTCAGTGTGAAATAAAAATACAGACTTGCCAAGGTGCTAAATTCACTTAATTTTTCCCCTTAAGAGCTGTTCAAAGCAGCTGTTCACTCCAAACAACATTGATAGGAAAACGTCTGGGCCACTGGATAGCCAAGCTGTCCAATTTTAAAGCAAGTGACAGGCAAACAGACAATCTCAAAATAAAGACACTGGTCCCATAACTTAGAAGCATCATGAGACAAAATTTCCATGTAATGATGCGATTCTCCTACTTTTATAAAACAGCTGCTACTGCACAGACGAGCCTACCTTCAGCTTTCTGTCTACATTAGCCTTATTCAGAATCCCTCTCCGAGGAGGCCAGCCCAACCTAAGGCATTGTGCAACTTAAACACTCTAACCATTTCTAGTAAAGTGGAAATAAAGGGAGGAAAAACCCACAGAGGAGTTAACAATGAATCATTTAAATCACAACTGGTCTTGAAATGGAGGAAAATTTGCAGCTCCTACCTTCCGTTTCTATTTATGTTTTTGTGCCAAACAATCTTACCCATTTTATCTTAGGATAATCCTAAAGTGCTGTTCACAGGTGGCCACATAAGATCAAACATTACTGCCTCAGCGTAAAGGATGCAGTTACCATTCTACTGTATGAGAAAAACCCTCTCCTCTGAAGTTATGGAAAATACTTTCCAATCCTTCCTATCAATAACAGACAGACAGTGAATATGTAAGTGGTGCTTCACCTAAATAACACTCAGGTACTGAAGGCTAAAGCAACTCAACAGTAACACCTCCTCTAGTACAGTTTTTATCACACAAGGTGGGACAAGCAACACTGTTTTAGATAAGCATTACTCTTGGCAGAGAGCAACATTTTTACCATGCCACAAATAAACTCACCCTGGAGCTAACAGAAAAGTATGTTTTACTTCTGTGTGTCATTTGAGATACAGCACTTTCATACCACTGTGCTTAAAGTGATCTTCACTGAGTCTTAAAATTACAGTTATATAGTCTGTGTTACATCTGTGTTAAGTTAACTAACAGGAAAAGCATCAATTTTACTGAAATACAGTAAGCACAGTAGATAAAATGACCACTGCTCCCAGCTTCTGGCTGGCAGTTACTAACTGCTTAAATCACCTTCTTGTCTGTCTTATTAAGATACTGCAATAGGTTCAGAGCTCATTATAGGGATCAGCTCTTAGGAACAACCTGGCAAATTACCTAATTATGAACAAAAGCATCTAGTTTAAGGATTACTCATCCTAGTGCAATTGGTGGAGTCCCGACAAAGCTACAAAGATTCTGCAGTTACAATTTTTTGTTCCCAAGTGTAAGGTAGGACTGTTAACAACACTCAGATCTCTAATTTATATGCCGTCAGTCAGCAACATTTGCCCTACACAGGATAACAAAGTAACCATATTTGAAAGCTGAAATCTTCCACAATGAAGTCTGCATTCTGTGCAGCTACTTTAAGCTACTTTCCCCCAGACATTTAGGCAAGAGGGATCTGGTAAAAATACTGTGCTTTAGGGAAATGGATGCCTAAATTTCCTCAGAAACTAACACAAAATCTTCAGATTGCTGCACTGAATCATTCATTTCATATTCTGCCTTTTCCTTACAAAGCAGAAGTATGTAGCTTGCCTTACCTTGACTCTGTTCAAGTTGTTAAAACAGTCAAGGGGCTTTTGCTCAAGCAAAACAGACTAGAATATGTCAGGAAAAAGTTTAATATACAGAAGCCCTCCAGTTTTAGCAGATACAATAAATGCAGACTCACTGCAACTTCATAGCAGAGCTACCAAAAGGTAGATCAACTACTCCAAAGTTTAAAATACACTGTGCTTGCAGGAACTGGAAGCAGTTTCTCCCTAGAATTACTTCAGGTTGGGGATTTTGTTTTTAGCTTCAGGATGTCTAAAAGATCTCTATAAAGTAACCCAGTAACCCAAACCAGCCAATGGTACGATAAGGCCAGTGGCAACATGTGTGTGTGTAACTGAGGCACCCTCTTCACCCCAGTACAACAGTAACAGCACGCAAAACTCAAACATGAAAGGCTAATGTGGGCTGCTAAGCCCATTATGAAGTTTATTACGTAATCCTTGAGTTCATATAGAGTGAACTCTTCTATTTCTTTCTAAGATAAGCAGAAGAATCTTTAGTTGTTCTAGAATGAAGTGTGTTTATTTATAAAGACAAATTCAATCCAACGTGGACAAATTAAAAAGATGCTTTGAAAGATTTTTAAGAATTGCATCCTAGAGACTCATACTCACGTTTGCTTTTGATTTCCCAGCTGACTCCAAACTTCAACTACAAAACCATCAAAATTTTCATTCTAAATAAAGAGATTTGACAACAATATACAGTTAATAACCATGCTTTTCATTATGCTTCTGTCGGAGATGATAATACACTATCAAAGCACACAGTTCTGTAGTTTTTCTTGTATTATTAACAGATTGAACATGTTTTGTATTCTTACACCAGCTTCACCTTTAACTTCATGAAGAACTCCAACAGAAGCACAAATCATTTAACAAATATGCAAAAGTTGAAAATCTCTATTAGTTATCTGTGAGTTCTACTCTTACAGAATAAACCAAAATTGGACTGAGAAAATTCAGGCATTAATGAAACAATTGGTTGTTAAGCAAATCGTTTGATGCACATTTACTTGTATATTGGGGAAAAAACCTCATTAGCTCTTAAGCCTAAAGATGTAAATGCTAATTCGGGATAGACATGATTCCAAATATTTCCCACAATTAATCTCATTGGTGATAATTTATGCTAAGTATGATCAAGGATACTGTTGTACTTGACTTGACCTCCTTAAGAGGTCAACTGTTATTGAGAACCTAAAATTGATGTACTGGTCACAAATTTTAAGAAACTACTCAGTTTAGCTCTACATTCGTCTTCCTCAGAACACAGTAAGATTTCTTTACATCATGTAGCAAGTGAGAAATCTTATTCTGGCACTAATCAGGTAGGTTGTCATGAATCAATCACCAAAGCTGAACATCTTTTGGGTGCAACTTGTCTAGTCCTACACATGCATAGCCCTAAAGCCATTAGGTAAGGGACTGCCCAGAAAACCTTAGCAAACAGTAACCATTCCTTAAAGAATTCGTCCTCCTCTCCCCAGCCTCTTGATATTTTGAGGAAACTGGTTTATCAGACCTGAGCAAAACTGTTCAATAACAGACATCCAGGGAGTTATTCTTGATATCAGAAGTGGCTCCTTAGCCACTGGGCCTGAGTGCACTCCTGTACAGAAAAACAGCATTCATTGCACCCATGATCCTTTTTCTGCTATCAGAAAATGCCACTAAGCAGTTTAGCCCCTGCTTAATAATTACATTTTTAATAGAAATGTAAAAGAAGGCAATTTATAGCAGGCAAAGGTCACCATTGCAGCTGTCAATAATAACTGAACAAAGTTATCTTGATCAGGGTTACGTAATCTCATGTTAGACTTGTACTTAACTGCACTTAAATATGCTACACTTCATATTTACAGGAATTGGACACATACTAGAACACACTATTAAGAATCCCACCTTATTATTGTTTTGAGCAGAATTTTATTTTGTAGAATATAAAATCACTAGAAATGAGACAACATCCATTACAAAAGGAATCAAATATCATCACACACTATTTTATAAGTATCATAAAAAGTCTTTTCACCTTGGCTAGCAGAACCATGTTCTTGGAAAGCTCCTCTATCTCATCTTCACTGCCAAAAACACTCTCAAAGTCCTGATAAGTCCAGCCATCAAACAAAATTCGAGGCACTATCAAGCAAAGCCATCAATCAGTAGTGAAAATTAAGAATTTATTGAATACACTGGAAAAATTAAGCAGAAACAGAATACAGCAGATAGAAGCAGAGATACCAGTAAACATCATATCCCATGACTAAGATCATTGCTCTTTCACTCTGACCATCTTCAGCAGCACAGATAAATTGACATTGTAGAACATTCTTCTTCATTTTAAGTTTAGTTAAAGGTGACACTTATGCAAGTTTTAAGAAAAGATACCTTCACTTGATTGAACTACCTTAACTGAACAACCACTTAGGGCCCCAAGTAAAGCACCAATATTAGACAGCAATCTGTAAGTTGTGTATCTCTTCTACCACAATAACGAGGTAAAAAAGTTCACCTCTAATTTACTCTTTTGTACTCAACCCTGTATAACTTCACTCTTCTACTCATCTCAAGGCCCTATGGCAAATTTTTAATTCTGGGAAAAGTAGGCACTTGAGCTCATACAATTTCTTTTTCTAAAAACACAAAACATTAAAAACTTAGACAGTCAGGAAAATTGTTGTTGGAAGAGTCAAAAATTATGCCCACCGGAAAAGCCAACAACTCTTATGGAGCTATTTCTAAGCCCTTTCTACCTACCAAGGATGTAAAACAGTATTTTAGAAGGGTATAGAGAGATTTCAAAGGCTTTGTACTCTGGTAGCTGAAGTACTTTAAAATATCTGACTGAGCATTCAATTTTTCTAATGCATTTCAAACTTCATACTCCCTTCTGAATCAACAAGTGTTTCACATTTCCACAGAATTCTTGCTATAGACAAAAGTAAGAAGTCTGGCACAGTAGAATATAGCGATGTTTGCTATTTTCCCTAGACACACACTGTAGTACATCCCATGAATTCCCAGCTTCAAGGGGAGAAGAGACGAAGCAGGACTTTTCTACTATCATGCAGGAAAGTCTGATTGATTCAGATTTTGATTTTTTTTTTTCTTTTTAACTACACAGAACCCTGAGCAACAAGTCTGAAGACCGCTTTCCTCAGGGGAGGCATACAACGTATGCCTCCAGTGAGGACCTTGTGAACCAAGACTTATCCAGAGACAAGAGGTTAAGGCAAAACATTAAGGCACCAAGAAGGTCAACACTTCAGTTACCTAACTATCTATAGTTATCTGCTTTATTTTTCTTCTCAGACTGTGCAAAGGTAACCTCCCTTTCTCCCATACACACCTGGAACAAAGCCTTCCTTTGCTCTGCTGGCAGTTAAAGAAGGTAAGAAAGCAAGTAAATAAACACAAAACAGAGGCTCACCTATTTTGATGTTTTTGGAGGTTTTCCTGACATCTTTCATCCAGCCTGTCAAACAGCATTAATTAAGACAACTCTTAAAATACAAATGACAATGATGATATATTTTCAAGCATTCTTCAAATAAAGTAGCAGAGATTCATTATACGTATATTTCTGACACTGACTAATAGTTCACAATCAACAGACAAAACCAGAATTTAAAGCTATTAACCTGCACCACAGCTTTACTACAGTCTTACAATAGTCCCTGCCCAGCCCCTCCCTGCTGCTTAGTTCTGCCTCACTATGGAAACTACTTTATTGCCTTCTCAGAACAACACTTTTGGAGTCACCAAGCATCACTTGGGAGCAATGTTTTGGGTTTTTTTCTGATGGTACTTTAAAATGTCCCATCCACTCCTCTTGGCAGTAATTGACTAGGATGAATTTGTTAGTAGGCACCAACATGGTAAGAATCATAGCTGTTTCAAATGAAATTCCACATTCAATCAAGTTCAAAACCATAATCTAGTACATTCTAGCTGAAATTTGAACTTGCTGCCAGTTTCTTGATAATGAAGGAAAAAATTCTCTTCAAATTAAATTTAGCTTCCATTTCCAAAATAAATTCACCTAAAGTTTTTTTGCAAAGAAAAAAAAACAACCAAAACTCACAACAGGTAAACAACTGCACAGTGCAAACACCAAAGACTATTTCTACCCATACAGACTCTTTGTCCCTTCCATTTTTTAAGAGGGACTTTGTAGCCTGGTGGAAAAGCCAATCTTCCCACTTGGGAACGAGATTGTGGTAGCAGATGGGGACAGAAAGAAGTTCACTCTGAAAAAAACTCCCAGAGAAATGTAATGGATGAAAGAACTTCACCATGAGGCAGAGCCAGCAAAAACCACGTATTCTGCAACAATACTGCAATTCATATTCAAAGGAAAAGAAAATAATACCTTTATCAGCATCATGGAGCCCAGTGAACTGGAACATTTCCTTCCCTTTCCTTTTCACTTGTAACCAAACTGGTGAGATTAGTGTAAATTTGTTCCCAAATATTTTAGCAATGTCATAGCCATGGTTGTTCCACTTGAAAAACAAGTGAGGAAAAAAAAAGTGAGAGACTCAGAAGCAAGATATACACTTTACTTTTGACCAATATAAACTCTTTAACACAAATGTAATCATCTGCTAGATTCCTATTTGTTCATTTGAAGAAACCTTCTGGGATATTATTTTTCCTTAAAAAAGGAAGTACTCTGGAAACTCTGGTAGCTACATGAAAGACAAATTGTGCAAATTGTGCTAATTCTTAACTACAGAAATTTGAATGTAGGCTCCAACACAGTTTTGAATTTAAGTAGTGTAAGACTGAAACAAGTGAAAACCATCCTTCTAAACAAAAGGATGAAACATTTATTATTCAAGAAAGAATGTTTTGAATAATAGTAAGACAGGATAGCAAAGGAGATCAGTTCCATAGCAGCATATAATTGTTAGCTGTTGATTTAGAAGGTTCAAGATGACAGCTGCAGAGTGAAGACACTTAGTAGCCCTCTTGTTCTGATTTCACTACAACTTCACCTGGTTCATCAGCAACAAGAGAATACTATCATCACTGTTACAACTAGTCTTAAGGAAACTTTGCTGTCTGACCATCCAGGAGTCACTCTAGGAGTCACACTCCCACCACCTCAGACTTTCACTCCTGAGACTGAGGCCCCTTCACATCAGGCAGTTCCAGTGACTGACAGGTCCCATCTTGTCTCCCTGCACACCCCACACTCACAGTCAGACCAGTTCCCCTACCAGCTCAGCCCTGAGCTTCCCACAGCAGAGACTCAGATGTCTGGATCCTTAAAGCAATTTTATTAGGACAGGATCCCCAAAAAAGGAATCCCCAGGATTTTGTACCCCCACAGTCTATGCCCATGACAGTCTGGGGCCTTCCTGCTGAGTCATCAACTCCTGCTGCATTTGAGTGCCTGGTCACCTGGGTGCCACAAGTCCCCGTGCTCTTCGTGATGCAAAGGGTCAGCAAGAGCTGCCACCATTTCCTCCCACCCAAGGCACAACCTGCAGCTCACACTGCAGCTGCACACTGAGAGTATTCCTCAACAACAGCGAGAAGAAAAACAACATGATCTAGACATCCTCCAAGAGACAGATGAGAGAACAAGGGTTTGAGACCACTGGAACCCCAAGCCAGCTCTCAAATAATCCACTGGCTATTTGACTGTGTTTGACCAGCAGTTCTCATTATTATAAAAATGCTTCTAAAGCAGGGATGCAAGCTTGCAGGATAACACAATCTGCTGCATACCCATTCAAAGCATGAATTTTATTTGTTGTATCAACTTACAGGAGTAATATATCCCAGAACATCTCCTGAGAAATGTCTTTCCTTCATCTTCTTGGAGCAATAACTTCTATGTTCCCGTATTATATCCTTTGCTTTTGGATCCACAACTATCAGTCCCCGGTCCTGTACATTTTTATCAGAATGCAGCATCTGTGAAGAGAAGACAATTATCAGTTAGATGAAATAACCACTTTCAATGGCAACACACTTTAAACACAACAAAATAACAAATCACTTCATTAAACTCTGAGCACTCCATTTAAAAGAATGCAGAGCAGTTTGATTTAAAACTGAAACATTCAAGTCCTCAGAAATGATTTGTCATCCTCAGTAAACTTAGTTTGTTTGGAAGGCAAAAAGCATATAAACACAAAAAAAAAATCAAGACAAGATAAGATTAAAGAACATCATTCATGACTCTTTGGCCGATGCTTTCTGCCATGTTACCCCTAAAATAATAAAAAAAGGTTAGGACTTCTTAACCAAGAATTCGAAGACAACTTTTAAACTTGTTATGTTTTAGTCTGAGAATGCTGCATTGTAGCTACTGAAGGTCAAGGTTTTAAACACCTTTCCTTAGGGAAGATACTTCAACTAAGCCAGTACAAATAGTTTTAGCAGATAAAAAGAGTGGGAACACATTCTAATAAGCTGTGCATGCTGAGTACACAATAACCACCCATTGATTCAGCATAAGGAATTTAGAGATATGACCTGTCTTAACTCTTTGTATTATCCTCACTACTGCAGACTAGATTTTCCTCATGGTAAGTCTTGAGCAAGCAAGTAACACAAACAATGAGAGATGTATATCCATAACAATAGGAAACAATAACATGCTCAGCAACTGAAGAGAGACTTCAGCATGTTGTCTCTGCTTGCATTGATTACTGGGGGAGTCTGAATAACTTCTGCCTGCAAAGGAGTTGCTGGTTAGAAGGTTCTTCAAACTCTTCTAACAGGATACAGCCTTCCCACTGGCAAGGCTCCATTCCACTTGTAAATGATCTAGTGCTCTTGGCCCAAATTACTGTTCCCCATCCCACCTTCCAAAGGGATGGAAGTGTTTCCTGAAGGGACAAAAACTTCCTGCTTCTGCAGCTTGCATGGAGGATAGAGCTCCAGAAGTCTACATCATACTGGTTTAAGGAGTGAACCATTTGTGACACTTAAAAAAGCTGAAGAAAAGGACGGTTTCAAAGAGTCTTATTTGTGAGCACAAGCTTCAGTGGAAATGCATTAACACTGTTCTCACAGAAGTAGAGTCCATTTACCAAAGTTCAGTTAGTTCACTGTGCATGTTAGGTAAGAGAAGCATTTCTGTTATTTCTCTTACCTTTTCTTCCAGTTTTTTTGTAGCACCTTTCTTTGCATCTGTTTTTGACAAGGTACCTTCAGATAGCCAGCAAATCATGGTAAGAGAAAGTGAAGTACAGAGAAGCCTCATGGTCTTTTTCCACATGTCAAGTTTCTCTTTCCCTGAAAACATAAAGGTTCAAATCTCTGAGAAAAGGAAATGAGAATTAGTAGAGAACAGTTCTGTTCTGTGCTATTTATCTATCACACCTTATTTCTCTAAGAGGAAAGACTTTACAAAAAAAAAAAAAAAAAAAAAGCAAATACAGCCAGAGCTTGTTTTTCAACCTCTCCCCATTCATATGTAGCACTGGTTTTCCGGCCTAATTCCCAGCACTGAATAAGAAGAAAACAGAGAAAAAATACTAAGCATTAGGGAAAACAGGGCAAAAGAAGTAAAATAACAGAATGAAAAGCAATCTGTTACTAATTGTGGAAGTCCTAAGTATCAAACTGGCAGTAGCTTTCATGCATAATAAACCAGTGGCTCTAGATATGTATCTGGCTGCTTCTCGTAATTATGAGATCCTGATGGACAAGAAAAAAGGTTATGTTTTTCACAATTTTCTGAGGTTTTGTTACACTTAAAAAATTATCTTGCTTCCTCTGTTACTCTACCACTCACTTTAAAGACTTACAAGCTCATTTCTACAAGTCATATTTACAATACTTGTCCTGTTCACACTGATAAGAAGTGCTGCTCAAAGTTTGAGTATTTTGTTTCTGTACAAAACAACACGTGAGGAATCCCATAACAGCAGATTGAACATTCTAAAAGACCACTGTAGTAGAAGGAACCTTAAAGGTCCAGTGCAAATGTAATTAATGAAATAGCAGGGATAATGTAGGGATGAGATCAACAACCCAATAAACTTACTTGCATTTGGATATCTCTGGCTCAGCAGTGAGGTTTTAAAAAGTAGAGGTATTTATTGTAGGAGTTAGAGATTCTGCAGGAAAAGCAAGGAATACATAATTAGGGAACAAAGCAGAAGAATGATGGCAGCAGAAGTGCTTGAAAAAAAACCAATGTCACTATCACCAAAGAACACAAAGTATCAAAAACCTCAAGTACAAAATTATTTGAAGGCTTTAATCAAGTCTTGTAAAGACTGCAAAATAAAAGCAGAAAGCCTCCTAACATTTCTTGGATCCAGAGGGCAGGGTGAGAGCCAAATTGCTATACAGTTTGAAATTCACTATTATTAATAATCAAGGTGTTATGCCTCTACTTTGACTTCAAGGTCACTGGCAACCTCCTTGTTTTTCACATCCTAAAAAATCAGAAAACCACGTTGCTCTTGATATCATCTCCTCTGTTCCACCTAGCTTGGCAAGATCTATAAACTACTTCAGGGAAGAACAATTGAGATCCTGAATAGTCAATACAAGTCTTAACTATTTGGACAGGATATCAATTCTTCCAGAAGCTCGTATATATTGATTTGGAGGTGTCTGATTTCACTTTCAAAAACAATTAGCAACTGCATCCGCTTCCCTGAAAAGAAGATAATGTCTAACAGCTGAAGAGCTGAAGTTTAAAAAACTATTACTGAACTCCAATTAGACATCAAAATGTGCTCATTTCCTTGACATGATCGTATCCATCTGCCAACTATTGTCAACACAACATCCACTCCAAATTTATAGAAGGCACTGAGCCTGTCACAAAACGGTTTCTGACTCTTGGTTGGAAACTTATTTTAATAATTTGTTCTTTAACAACATCAGTTTAGTGAAATTTAAGTAGACAGCATCCTTCTAATACATGAAGATGAATTAGTCAAATGTGCTTTATGGAAACCATAAGCATGAATTTTGCAAGCTCTACAAAACTAAATCCTCATCAAGTTTTTCTTCTGCAAATTCACCACCATTTTTAAACTCTTCTTGAACTAATCTCAGTAAAACTGTATTTGCTTGGCATTCTTGTTTATCTCCTTCATCACTGCAAAATACAACCAGAATTGAAGACTACCTGTGTCCTTGTTCAACTGGTACTATCGACAATTTAAAGTTTAAAACATCTTTTGACAAACTGATCTGAATCTCAGGTGTCTCTTTTAGCCAGGTCACAAATGTCATTTAACCCCAGTCTCCACCTGAGGTAATATACTTTTAGTCAGCTATTTTAAATGCATCTTTATTTTTAAAAGGGAGAAAAGCTGTCATAGATTTAGGCTATCCAAAATAAGCAACCAAAGAAACTAAATAAACTTGGAGGCTGGCACTGTACTGAGTTAATAGATTCTTATTAAAGCTGCAGAAGGAGCCTGCACCACTTCCTAAGGAAAGACCAGGAGGCATGCTGATGATGCGTTTTTAAATGAAATCAATAAAAGCTATAGCGGGGAGTGAAGAGCGAGAATAAATCCGTTTCTAACCTGTGTAAACATTAAACCCTTTCCTCTTGTAAGATAGCTCTACTTTGACGGTCAGAATTGTCTCCCCCACTCGTCTGAATCTTGAGACACCAAAGCTCCCCCGGCACCTGCACGCCCGCTATGGCAGCGCCGGCCCCGCCGCGGCCTCCCCCGAGCTGAGACCCGGTGGGGCTGCGCTGGCCGCCCCCGGTGCCGTGTCTCCCCCCAGCCGCCTGCGGCAATGCCGAGGGCCCCCACGCCGCCGGAGCGCGGCCGCGCCGCCCGGCCCTGCCCGCCCGGCCCGCGGACATCACGTACCGCCCGCCGCCGCCGCGGAAGTGCGGGCGGGCGGCACCGCCCCGCCGGCTCGGGGCCGCGCCAACATGGCGGGGCGGGCGGAGGGAGCGGCGCCGACTCTGGCTCCAGGCTGGCGCTTCGGGCGGGCCGGGAGCCTCGGGAGCGACGCCATATCCCGACTGAGCCCCTGGGGCAGAGCCGTTTGTTGGGCTGTCCCGTCTCGTGCAGGGGTGCGGTCGCTTGGGGGTCATCAGTACCCCAAGAAAGAAAATAGTCATGGTCTAACAGTGAATTCCCGTGAAGAGCCTCCTGGTTTAGCCCAAGCTGTAGTAAATAGCTACAGCTCCAGGTTTAGCCTGGAGAAGAGGAGGCTAAGGCGACCTTATCTCTCTCTACAACTACCTGACAGGAGGTTGTAGCCAGGCGGGGGGCGGCCTCTTCTCCCAGGCAACCAAGTGACAGGACAAGAGGACACAGCCTCAAGCTGCACCAGATTGAAACTGGACATTAGGAGGAATCTCTTCACAGAAAGGATGATTAGATGTTGGAATGGGCTGCCCAGGGAGCTGGTAGAGTCATTGTTTCTGGAGGTGTTCAAGGAAAGACTGGCTGTGACGCTTAATGCCATGGTCAAATTGACATGATAGTGTTAGGCCATAGGTTGGACTCGGTGATCTCAGAGATCTTTTCCAACGTAATTGTTTCTGTGAATCTGTGAAATAGTGTAGGTAAATCGGGAGCTTGGCTAAAATACACACACTGGCCTGGAGGCAAAATGATTGTATAGACAGGGCTGCAGAGAGTCTGCAAGCAACACTGCTAACTCTTGGTGTGCAGAGAGGAGGAGCCAAATCCCAGATGGCTCTTAACAGGTTCAAAAATAAAAGATTATGTTTTAAATTGAGATTTTTATTTTCTCCTGTTTTGACCTTCTACAGTTTGTGTTTTTGCATGCAATATGGCTGTGCTACTGCTATTTTTACTGCAGCCCAAGTTTTGTTGTAACCCTGTTATTTCACAGGCTGCTTGCAGAAACTAAATACCATATCAAAAGACTTGATAATAAAAGGATGTGTTATGTCATGATGCAGTCATGCCCAGCATATCCTGGCAGTGTGCTTCCCAAAAGAGACCTTCCTGTGGCCTGCTTTCTTTCTTGGTGAGACCTCCTAGAAGCTGAACTGTATAGTTACCTTATTCTGCTGCTGTGCCCTCTTCTTTCATTCCTTCCTGTGTAACGAAGATCTTCATGAACATTCTTTAGCACTGAAAAAAAAATATTATTCCTCTGAACAGAAGTCTAGCCAGTGAACCAGATCCATCAAAAATTTCTGGAAATTTTGAGTTTCATGATAATGGTATTATCCTAACTTTGTGGGTTTTAATGTTGGAAGCAGCACATCTGGTACTCTGGCATGGCAGAAGGTATTGTGCTCTCTGTTAATGGATAATGAATGTTAGATGACAAGTGCAGAAACAGAACTGAGTGTACACATGGAGGAGCCACCGATTCTGTTTTCCACTTAGTTCTTTTTGCTTCCAGTAATGGCTGGAATGATCATGAGGAGCAGAAGAAAACAATAACTGATGGTACAAATCTGACAGAAGTAACAAAGGAAAAGGAACAATTCCTTTTTTGTAGTTCCCACAACTGGATACATTCAGTTGAGTAGTAATAGTTTTATGAAGGTCAGTGCAATTATTCAAGTCTTTGTACCAAACCACAGTGAAATTCTGAAAAGTTAATAAAGCAACTTCCATGTGAAATGGAAAAGAAGGGACAGACACTGTGGATTTGCTGGCATACAGATGTGATACAAAACATTTTGTGTAATAGGAAAATGTTTCTTAACACTATTTCCTCTTTAATGCTGATTTTACAGTAATTAGAAATCTCTTAAAAAATTAAAGCATTGTCAGATGGGCGAAACATCTGTTTTTACACAGACTGGTGTTTTATACATGTTAGACTCAAACCAAAATGTTTTTCAGAATTACAAACTCGATGTGTTTGCAGAAGGCTGTTCCTAGTGTGAACTCTGAGCTGGGTAACAGCTGAGCTCACATTACAATGTTTCTTTCAATCAGGATGCATCTAGAGACCATTACAGGCTCTGTTGCCTCTAGCTATCTACTTATTCACATAAAATTTGTATCTTGTCCCTACCAAAACTATCTGAAATAGACTAATAAGTTCTCAGTTATGACACAATAAGGGCAGACATATGGCTACACATTTGTCCTAATTGCATAAGCCATTGTTGAGGAAAAAAGACAGGGAGCAAGGATGAATATAGTGAAGCCTCAAAAGTCAGTCAAAGGATATTGATATAAAATAATCAGAGTATGTGTACTGCACACTGAGCTCCTTCAAATGAAACATTTAGCTGTATAGTTACAGAATTAGAGATGTCCATATGTGTTAACCACTTGACTATTTGCCCTGTTCTCAAGAACCATTTGCAGTTCATACTTAGCTTGGTACTGCCACAGCTATTCACTGTCAGTATTTAAGCCACCACTGAGAAGGCAGTTGAAGTGTATGCACCTGCATGACTTGCAGTTGCAGTATTGATTGGAACACAGCCAGACAGGACCAATAGGCCAGCCTTTAGGTGTCACTGTGCTCTTAAGAGTAGACGTTAGTTCAACATTTTGGATACCTCAAAAAAGACTTTTTTTTTTTTTCTGATTACAGAAAAAACTTCATATAGTGACATATGAAATTTTGATGTTTAAAGGTATATGCAAATTATATATAAACAAAAAAATCTACTTGTAAAGCTGTAAAAAAGGAAAGCTTTCTTCATGTAAGCCTACAGAGAATCTGTAGAGAATAATAGACTAGTTGTGCATGACTGCCTGTACTTGCACTTGGTCTACAAAATGGATCCAGGGACAAAGGGATATCTGCATGACTACCACATACTGTCATCTTGTCTTTCTAATAGACACACACCTAAAAAACACTCGTGTAACAAGGCATCCTGAAAACATGAACAGCAGACACTTGCGAGGTGACCTAACTGAGGTGTACAGCCAGAGAGGGTAGTTCTTTCTCTATGACAGAAAAACGTATCACTAACTTAAAAGCACTGGAGCTTGATGAGTCTAAAGAAGATGCAAGCTCTTAAACAAGGATTAACCATGGAAACAAACTATCCAGGGAAACAGTGAGTTTGATTGTACCAGCAAGACTAAGTGCCTTTCTGGAAGATAGACTGTAGCTAAAAGCTAGATATTGGGTTCAATTAGAGGGGTAGGGGGGGAAAGAACAGGTGAAATGAATGGCTTGAAGTATACTGGAAAAGAGATTAAATGACTACTAGGTCTCCAGTAGCCTTAAACCCCATGATTCTAAGGTCGTTATTTTCCACTAAGCATACTAATCACTTGTGTTACAGCTGAAGCTCCCACCATACTTTTGGGTAGGCAGACTAGGCCAGTTTTGACACCATTTGAATCTATTTTTGGCTGATGTGATTAAATGCTCTGCGCAGTCCTACCTCTTCGGCATGTTTAAGACAGTTTAACCTTGAAATGTTTTCAGTCTCAGGAGTAGATGTAGCGTGGGACTGTGTTGCTCTGCATGTTCGCAGCCTTCAGGAGAAACACGTGGCCCTGGGTTTGCAGTCTGCGGGCCCAGGGAGCCAGAGGGTGTACATTGCTGTGTAACACAGAGCAGCTGCAGCACTCACGCTATTGATGGCAGGCTCACAGGGGCTATGTGACTAAGAATGGAGCCGCACACAGCAGCTCCTGGGCTGGTCAGTGTTCAGAGAGACCATACAGGGTACATGAAACAGATCCCATGTACAGTTCTGGGGTCCCTATGGAGCAGCAGGACCAAGGCACGGCCTCCCAGGGTTCACCTTGTGGAAAGCATGTTCTTACGGATGGCACCATTCAGAGTTCGTACCTTGCTCTCCATATTTTTGCAATAAGATCGTAGATTAACAGCCTGCTCAAAGCTTAGCGAAATTTTCCTGTCTCCTGATCTGCCGTCCCTCTCCTTCCCCTCAGCTCTTACATCCTCTGAGGGAACTGTGAAGCTCGATATTTCACCTTCAAAAATGATCAAACTTGTCGGCCGTTAGGGGCACGGGGAGCGGAAGGGATCGGGCTGTTCCCGATCCCGGAGCGCACAGTGGGTTCCCACACGGACCTAGCGGCCCCTCGCCTCGACCCGGGCCCATTTGCCCCGGCGTGCGGTGACTTG